ACACACACACACACACACACAGACACACACACAGTAGTCCAACAAATTACACCTCGTCATTTTATATTTTGTAGAGGAAAAAGTAAATTAGGGAGAAAAGTCTCCTACTACACCTCTTTCTATGCTTTTGGAGATTATTGCTTAAGAATAAACATAAAGATTATGGATTATAATAGAGCAAATACAGTGTTTTGCAAATTAATACACAAACAGGATTAAAAGTTTGTGTGTCTTAATCTGCACATCTGGATAAAGTGGAAGTTATCCTCCTCTAACCTCATGTCGGCCTCTCACGGCTTCAGAAAACTCTCGAGTTCTTGATTACCTGCATTTATCTGATGCTTATCTGATGTTTTCCAACTTTTCTCCTTTATGAGAAATCCTACTTTGTGATGTTGCCAGCTGCGTCGTGTTTACTTTTCCTTCGGGCTGATGTTTATAATAATAATAATGTTATTATGTAAAATGAGCTCACTGGAAATAAAACTGTTGCCTGCAAGTAATTACGGAAAAAGGAAAAATCTGATTCCCACTTAGCACATGTGCAAGTTCCTGAAGCGTGGTTTGTGAGCGTTTGTGTGAGGAAACACGTGGCCTCCCTCCTGTGCCTCCTGAGCTGACAGCAGTTTGATCAGACACTGGCTCAGTTCAGCAGGAACAGGAGTCAAGTCAACACACAACATTAGGTCATTCCTATGAAGTAAATGAAGTATATGAAGTATATGAAGTATATGAAGTATATGAAGTACACACACAGTTGTCACACATGTGGTTGTTGATGATCTCAACACTTCTGCTGCTGCTGACTGTGCTTGTTGTTTTTTATTGATTGAGAAACAGTGAACTTCAAATTGCTCCTCAGGGTTAAATAAAGTGGTTTGAATTGAAGTGAATTGAATAAATGTGTCTCTCGGTGCAGGTGGAGTTGATGATGGGTGTTTTCTGCCCTCTGCAGGTCACAGGGAGAAACTACAAATAAACAACTGGATGGACGCTGGATATAGTTTGTTAAAGTTTGGATTTCAACCTCTGTCGCGTCAAAAACTTTATACTTAATTATTCATATTATTATATTATTTTTATTGTTATTTTTATTGTTGTGTGTTTTTGTTATTGTTGTTATTAAAGAGGTGATTATGAATTTATTGAGCCTAACGAAGCTGTAAACACGCAGTACCACACCCTCACCGATAGAGGGCAGACGTTTTCCTAAGAATCCAACCAGAGTGCTGAGAATCCCACGAAGAAGAGAAACCCGGAACAACAACATCCGGCCTGAAGTGGCTCAGTGTGAAAAAGAGAAACTTTCAACATGAGAAACTAAAGTGAGACTCGCCGACATGTTGCGTGTGGAGGCGCTGGAGCCGCAGCTGTGTGCGGTGATGGAGACTCTGGTGGAGGCGGCGGTGACGGAGCTCCGCAGACTGATGGAGGAGGAGCGGGCCAACGTCCGGACCGCAGCCGCTCTGCAGCGCTCCGCTCCGGCTGCGGTGAAGAGGGAGGAGGAGGAGGGGGAGGGGGAGGAAGAAGTGAGTCCTCAGAGGCAGAAGTTTATTGGAGACACACACACACTCACACACACACACACACACACACACACATACATATATATATATAAATACATATATACACACTCACAGCATGTTTCTGTAGAGAATCTTCCTCCCACCTCACGGTTTGTACTTCTCTTCATCTCCCCAAGTCTCTACAGAGCCAGTTTGCAGCGCTCATGGAAACATGGACCAAAGCTGCCGGGAAGAAAATTTTGACCATTCTGAAAGTGTCCATGTGTGAAGCTGAGGAAGAACCAGAGCTGAACGACAAGAGCAATCAGTCAAACGTGAAGCCGACAGCAAGTGCGTTTTCTGACACAGCTCAAGTGGCCACGAAATGTTCATTCTCTGTATAATAAACAAAGTTCAATGCTCTTTTTAAAAATTACAGAATCGTCAACCAGAAGAAGCAAAACGGAGCGAGGACGTGAACCAGCAAAAAGAAAGAAGAGTGAGAGAGAGAATCACAGAGGTCTGATTTCTGTTTTGAAATACAGAAAGAAAATAAAAAGTTCAGCTCTGTCACTTATCAGACTTTAAAGTCCCACATTGTTACTAAGTTTTCTCTTTGTTTCAGCGGATGCAGCCTCACATGAAGACAGAACCTCTGGATCCCAGTTTGAACCTGACGACTTGTTAACAGAGCTCAGTTCAGAGCAGGCCCCTGAGTTGGCCCCTGACGTCAGCGAGGACGCTTCTACATCCAAGATCACAAAGAAGAAGAAGAAGACGACTGGATCGTTCAAATGTCCTTCATGTGACAAGACGTTCGCTCTGAAGTGTTTGATGGAAAGACACCACCGCACTCACTCCAAGCCTCACCTCTGCTCACAGTGTGGCAAACGTTTTTCGGTACTCGCCGGGCTCATCGCACATTCGCGACGCCACACCGGAGAGAAGCTTTATAAATGCTCAGACTGCGAAACAGAGTTCGCTTACAAATCCACCTTTGTGAGACACATGCGTCAGCACAGCCAGAACTCACCAAACACCGTCATGTGCACGCTGTGTGAGAACCACTTCAATGGTACGCTGGCGTTTCAGCGGCACCGGTGTTTTGCCCTGAATAAGACGTTTGTTTGCTCCCTTTGTCCAGAGACATTCGAGTGCAGACAAAGTCTGGCCGATCATGAGAATCTACATTCAGGAGTCAGAGATTTTGTGTGTGAAATGTGTGGCGAGAGTTTCCTCTCGTCCTCGTCTCTGATCAGTCACCGGGTAACTCACATGGAGAAGGAGACCTGCTGCGACCAGCTCGGCCTCGGATGCAGCGACCTGAGCATCCTCAGACTTGCCCTGAACAAACACACTGGAGAAAAGCTTTTCACCTGCGAGGTTTGCGGTAAAGGCCTCAGCCACCAGAGCGCCCTGAAGCACCACATGCTGACCCACACGGGGGAGAGGTCGTACGTCTGCGAGATGTGCGGCAAGCGCTGTAGCCACGCCAGCGCGCTTCAGAACCACATGAGGGTCCACACGGGGAGGAAACCGGGGCAGCTGTCGGTCTGCAACGTGTGCGGGAAAGAATTCAGCCGCACGACGAGACTCAAATATCACATGAGCGTCCACACGGGGGAGAAGCCTTACTTCTGCGATCAGTGTGATAAAAAGTTCAGCAACCCCAGCAATCTGAAGTTACACATGAGGACTCACTCCGGGGAGAAGATGTACGGCTGCAACATCTGCGGCAGGAAGTTCACTCACGCCAACAGCCTGAAGGTGCACAGGCTGATCCACACCGGAGAGCGGCCGTATCGCTGCGGGGTCTGCGGGAAAGAATTCACCAAAGGCAGCGACTTCAGGAGACATCAGAGGGCTCACCAGTCAGAGGGAGCAGGAGACGGAGTGTCAATGAAAACCTGAAACGTTTCACTGAACACTGAGAGACATTTTTTATATACACACACAGGAAACTGCTCAATGTGAAGAAAGACACTGTGAGACAGAAGAAACTTGTCGACTGATTTTTATACAGACGTTTCTATCACCAGGTGTATTTGTCACTTTGGATTTTCCCCCTCACGCTCTTATTGTATAAAGTATTATCTTTGTTTTGTGTTTTGATTTATATTGAGCTGTATTTTTATAAATATATTTGTTTTCATTTTTCTTATTTGATATTTTTCTATTACATTGCTCTTATAGCTGAGCCCCGAGCCGTTCCTCTCATCTAACTCTTGAACTGTCGACCGTGTTACACAAACTAAACTTGAGCTGGTATTTCATTGTAGATCGATCAACGACACTGTGAGTTTAAATGTCATTTATTATATTTACCTTATTTTCTTCTCAGTTGAGTTTCTAGAAAGTTCTCAACTTTAGAGAATTACCTCCAGATCACAACAGTGGGTGTTGACACTGTGATTTTTTTAACACAAAGACTTCATGTGAAGATGGACGACATGACGACTTCCCAAAGGTGAAACCAAAGCCTCTTGAGTGTCCATATACTTATGTCAATGTATTGTATACCATTGTAGAACATTATTATTATTATTATTATTATTGCTCCTGGGAAGCAAGAAACAATTCAGTTCATTATTTTATAGATTTACTAATAAATTAACAAGAACATAATTATAAAGTCACCAAGTTTGTTTAACATATTCGTCTTTAGCAGGAGCTTTGTTTTTTATTCCACTTGATTGGTTTTTACTGCAATCGCACAATTTCCTCACATGTGGCTAATTTGCTTTGTCGTTTAACAAAAGAAGCGGACGAGGGGGTAAAAGAGGCCGATAAAGAAAACAGACGACCTAAAGCAATTAACTCTTCGTCCTTCGTGTAAAAAGTAGTGAGGAGGAACAGACTCGGAGTCACAGTCGCACAAACAGCTCAGTTTGTTGATTTTCTCAGAGAGAGAGTTTCTACTGGGTTGGAATAAAGACATGAACTTGGAACTTTGATATTGTGTTGCACTGATACACAATCATTCATGATATACAACACAGATACATGATCTTTTCAACAGACACTGTGAAACTGTAAGATCTTCCACTAGATGGTGTTAGAGGATCAACGAGTGAAGCTTTAACATTAACATTCAGCTCAGCTCGTGTTGGTGCAACAGGATGATGCCTCTGAGATAAAGATCATCAACAGGTGAACGTCCTGTTCTTTACTTTCCTTCAACTACAACATCTGTCTTCATGAAACCTGCACTGATGTCATTCAAGTTTTACAAGAGGATGACATTCAGAGATTTTATTCTCTGTTTAAAAAAAAACTTGAGTTACCAGAATTTAAAGTGATTTTTGAAAGTGTCTTTCATTCATCCCTCCTTCCTGCAATGTTTGCACTCCAAAGAAAATAAATGACATGGCAACAATACAAAAAACAAGTTAGAAAAAACAGTAATTGAAGCAATTTTCAAAATCACCACATTAAAAGATAACGCTTTGTAAGAAACTGGATTATGAATGTGATCAATACTTATCACATCCTCTCTCCTGCATGAAGAAACAGTCAGGTTAGAGTTTTGGAAAAACAGAAATCAAACTTTTGACCTGTTCTGAATTGAGCTCTGTGTTTCCCAGCATGACTCAGTCAAACTTCTAATGCCAGTTTATTGCATTTAGTTTAACCTTTGGGCTTAATGCTGCTGAGAATTCAGTGTTTTCATGGAGGTTTGACTCACACTGAGGCGAGGCGTTCTCTGCAGGAAGCTGCTCGGCCCGTAAGGAAGAATGTTTATTATGAGAGCAGCTAAGAAGAGTCATTTAAAGACGGATTCGCAAATTAATGAACTAAAAAGCTCACGTCAGGAACATGTTTCCATGTTGAATCACACTATATATGACTATATATATATATATATAGTAATGTCATCAGCTATAGTGATGTCATCAGCGTAAAATGGCGGCACCTGTATCTGCAACATTTTGGCTTCACTTTTGTAGGAAGTGGAGACGTGTCGTCCATCTTTATTTAAAATGTCGTCACACAACATCAAATTATAATAACACAGTGCGTCAGCGTTGTGTTAGCATCTTTGCTTATGCCGCCCCCAAGTGACCAAAGAATTTCATTGCAGGTTTAATTAAAAAGAGGACACTTCATGAGACTAATGAAAAGGTCCTGTTTGAGTTTTACATAGTAAAGTACTGCAGAAAGTATCATATACTGTATTTACTGTCAGGTTTTGTGTCGGCACTAGAAGGGTAGAATACAACGTCTGTTCCTGAGAACTTCATCTGTGGGTTCGACCACATCACACGCTTGATGTTGCTTTAGTTAATTTCAGCTGCAGCTTCGATGCCTTTAAATAAAGATGCTTCTTTCCGCCACATCTTCCTGCAGCAGCTTCATTTCTCGTTAAGGTTTCTCAGGTGTGACTGTGATTAATAGACGATGGTATCAGGGGTCGCTACCCGTCGGTCACCTGGAGCTGCGTGGTGACAGAACGTCACTGGCTCCAGACTGAGGAGCTGAATAGACACAGAACAGCATCAACATGCAAAGGTACTTTCCCCCCCGATCGTTCGTTTTTAAAGTCCGGATTTAGTCACACCTTCACTGTCACAACTCCTGGACTCAGCAGGAAGCAGGAAATACCACATTTACAAATGAATGTATCCCTCATAGTAATGTGGTGCAGGTGGGTGAAAGGATGGATGATGGATGGATGACTGAATGATGGATAAATAGGTAACTGGGTGTATGGATTGGTGAACTGATGGATGGATTAATGGTAGCATGGATCAAATAGTAGACGGATGGATGCATAATTGGTCGGGTGAATTAATGGATGGATGGATGTAGGAATAAAATAATGGATGAATAATGGAGGATTGATAGAATGGGTTGATGAATGGATGGGTGGATAAATGGCAGGTTAGGCAAACAAACTGATAGATGAATGGACAATAGATGGATCAGTTATAGAATGGATAAAATGATGGATGGATGGATGGATGGGTGTTGTAAAGAATGTAGAAATGTATATATGTAAAGTGTGGATGAACAACGATAAAGGAATGGATGGATGGATGGATAGATAGATAGATAGATAGATAGATAGATAGATAGATAGATAGATAGATAGATAGATAGATAGATAGATAGATAGATGGATAGATATCTGTAGGTTGGGCTCAGGCCACAGAATGGGATCGATGTGCGTCACCTGACTGTGACAGTGTGAGCAGAATGTGATCCATCAGTTGTGGGGCCTCCGCTCGCTGACATGATGACTCTGACCTTGGAGAGAAGCCATTAATTAAAACTCTGTCCAGCTCTTTACGGCTCAGCTCCCCGTCGTGCGGACGACCCATCACTCAGCACCGGGCAGAATCATGTCAGTGTCCCAACATCGCTGCCTTATGCAACATTATCAAACATATGTGTATTGAATCGTGAGCTCTGAGCTGAAACTGTGTCAGTGATGCTGTGGACACACAGCTCACACACATGAAATCAATACTGAGTCTGCAGGAAGTGAGAAAATCAATTAAACATGGGGCTGCCGCCATGAAGCCGTTCAGTTTGCAGTCTGAAAACCAGAATGTTTTTCACACTTTCAGTTCACACGCAGAAAAAAAGCCTGAGGTGCACATACACATGAGAAATGATGTACTGTACCTCCGAGGAACAAAATACTGTCACCACTCAGAGAGGAATTCCTGTATTTTTCAACCTCTTTCACTCTTTTCAATCAGAGTTCCAGAAAATGTCAGAAGCCTTGCACATTTACGTTCTCAAGTACAGCCCCTCTGGAAATTTTCAGGAAAATGTCTGGAGCTGAAATTCTTTCTGAAAACAGCTTTTGAACAGAATCGGTGTATATTTGCATTAATGTCCAAAATCAATGCAAACGCTTCATCATTTAACAAACCTGCAGTATTCATGCACGGCAATAAAACCCAGAACAACACAACATTAATGACGGAGTCGCCAGAGTTGATGGTTTTATAGAAGAAAAAAAATGCAGCAGGAAATGATGCATTAATTTTTCCTGCGGGTCCTTGTGATAAAAGTGGGGGTTCATTTTATTGAGTGGCAGGGAAAGGTCAGCGTGGGGGAATGCCACCCCTGGGCCTTTAAGGATGGAGCCATATATTTCATGTGAAGAAATCAAAACAAGGGCTCGAAATGGTGCCTACAGGGAGCAGAGACCCAGCTGCACTATTGACAGAAGGAGAGGACGAGGAGACGAGAGCAGGAGAGGAATCAAGTCTGACATTCGGATCGTCGTTTAGGTGATTTCCCACTTGGCTTATCTGGAAGAGATTTCATCTATAATGCAAGCAAACACAATAAAATGTGTTAATGACTAAAGAACGGCCTCATTATTAGAAAATAATGTTTGCTGTCATATTTTAAAAACTCATGTGTTGAAGAGGAATGAATTTGTTGTGAGATCATAATAATACATAAAGAGTATTGTGCATATTACAGTAATATGAGTAAATACTTGATCCAGTGAAGGCAGAAAATATCAAATATTATATCATATAACATTGCTAATGACGTGTTCGGACCGATATTGGCTGATGTTATTGAAT